CCCCAAAACCCCAAAACCCCAAAACCCCAAAACCCCAAAACCCCAAAACCCCACAAATAACGAATAACATTGAATAATTTTCTTATACATCTTTAGTAATCTCTCTGCTTTCCGATCTACTTTTTGAGCGGGGATCCTCCCTTCTTAGTTGATGTCTTCCTCATTGGACTTCCCTTCCCGGTCGGTGAGCCTCTCTTCGGTGACCTTGCTGGCGATCTGATCGGTGAGTCCTCTCTGATTTCTCTGCCGATGCAGGTCTTCTGCACAGCTACTTTCTCAGAGAACTTCTTGAGTGGACTCTTGCGCTCTAGCTTCTCGATCTCGAGTGGCGTGTAGATGTCCAGGAACTCGTCGATGGTGAGGAAGCCTCCGCCCACTCTGATGATGATCTTGTCTTGCTCGACTTTGACGAAGATCTTGCGGGTTCCGAACTGGTAGATGCCCGAAGACTCCCGCATGAACATCACTTTCAGGCGGTTGCGTTCTGGGTAGTTGTTGATGTACTCGGCAAGCTTGGCGTCGACTGAGTCGCTTTCAACCGGAATGTAGACTGCGATGCGGTGCTTGAGCTCGACGATGTAGTCTTTGAGCGTTTCGATTTCGAGTTCGGCATCTTTGAGGTGGTCGAGTAGTTCGAGGCTGGTTTTGTTGGCTTTGTGGACTTTATCATCTTGTTCGATGAGGTAGTCAGAAGCAATGGTAAGTTGTTTTTTGAGTTCAGCTTTTTGTGCTTCTAATTCTGCTACAAGATTTCTTGATTCTGATAGTTGACTTTCAACATCAATCCTAATCTTCAATTCATGTGTAATTCTTTGGATCTCATTCTGAAGTTGAAGTAATGCTGTACTTTGTCTATCAATTGTTGTTTCTCTATCAGCCTTTTCTCTCTTTAAAACATTAATAACATCATTGAGTCTGTTGATCTCTTTCTGCAAATCCTCATTTTTCATGTGAAGTCTATCTTGGAAATCTTTATTTGCTTTTGAATCTTCTTCATTTTTCTGGATGTACTCTCTATGTTGCTGATGTAATTGATCTCTATCTTTCTCACTTTGAAGCAAGTTAGCATTCTTTGAGTCGAGTTCTGCTTGCATGTCTTTAGTAACCTCTACCTTCTGATTAAGAGATACAATCACAGTATTAAGATGTTCGATTTCAACTTTATTATGCGTCAACCCGGAATCATTGTATTCATATACCATTGTAGTGAAAGTCTTCTTTTTTGGAGATTCACCTATAAAATTTGAGTAAAACAAAGGTACCTTTCTTCGGCGATTTCCTATTTGTCCCCTTTCTGAGTGGAGATTTCGCTAAGCTCATATTAACAAATAAAATTTAATTTATGTATAATCATCCGAAACTCCCTCAAAGGGGTTTTGGGGTTTTGGGGTTTTGGGGTTTTGGGG